CAGTCTAATATAACAATGAATATTAATACAATTTATACAATTGAAAATTCTGTTTACTTTATTGCATATATAATAATTGAAATGAATTTAGTTGTTTATGTTTTTAGTTATTAGTTTATAAAATAATATTGTATTGTAATAATTTTAAATGAATAAAATACATTTTGCCAGTATTTGTTAATAAATATCGATAAAGTTCTATTAATGTAATACTAGTTTATTCTCTATGATTTTTAAAGTAATATATTCACAAAAAAAAAAAAAAAAAAAAAAAAAAAATTATTATAATTAATATGTTTTATAACAAATATATTTCTAAATATATTGGAGATTCTTTTTGTAAGTTTTCTTTCTATTTTTGTCTATGTACAAGTATTATAAATTTTCAAAAATAATTATTTTTTTATATAATAACAGTGAAATATTATTTTAATTTCGTAATATACTGAATAAATATGGCATATAGATTAAAAATGAAATATGTAGAAGATTTTTAATACATCGGACATTTTATTTGTATTATATAATATTTATTTTCAATATTACTATTCTATAGAAAATCATTCTTCATTGTTTTACGATAAATTAATTTATGTATGTCCAAGGATAGATTGTTGTAGTTCTAAAATTCTTCGGATTACCATCAATAGTGATTGTCGATGTTTCAACAATTACTCTCATAATTTTAAATGAAAAGAATATAGTTTATATTCATCTTGTATTTCATTAATTTCGAAACGATGTGCAAGGCAATAGTTAATTACATTAATCGATTTAAGAAAAAATGGTGTTATATCAATTTTCACGCATTATGTAATCTTTTCATAAGCGAATCGGTATTGTATTTGTGTGAATATCGAATAGTTGTTGATCGGAGCATTTTTTTTTCCATAGAAAGAAGTTTTTTGCTCGATTGTTATTTCAAAGCACGAAGCCATAAAATCAGTCGTTGAATAGCGACACCAAAGTTATTAAATTATTATTACATTTGTACCCTCAGAATTCTAAAATGTGTCACATATTTCTAGTGCGAGATATATCCGCATTTTCAGCATATTTAGGCTTTTTCAACTTGGCCCCATGCTAGGTAATATCACCAAATTGTGGCTTTGGGGACATATGAATGAGGGTACTGCTTGGCAAATAAATCATAGCGTTGTCAAGTTACATAGAAAAAGCATTTTATGGCATTAAAAAGGGTGTTCTTGATGAATAATAACTAACGAAAATTACCGCCCGAAGTGTATTTAAGTGCTTGAAATGTTGGTATTATTTACAAAAACAATTTTTCCTTTTTATTTAGCAATTTAAATAGAGCATGAATACCGAAATTTCATGAAATATCTAATGCTAAGATGTTTACTTTATTTAAATATAATAAATTAATATCCATTGACAATATATTAACAGATATTTTATGTATGAAAATAAAAAAATAATATAATATATTTTTCTGTTTATTAAGATTGCAGTTTAATACTTTGCATTAAATATTATAACAATATATACTGATTTTGTTATAAACTGTAATAATCATCAATTATTACTGAATCACTCACTTTTTCATATTATTTTATACGAACTTTTTATGGAATTTAATATTAATTGTTTTTAAGAACGAACGAATCAATTTTAAGTATAAAAAATATTTTCTTTCAATCGCAAGATTTATTACGAAACATAATTGGCTTTGAAAATTTGTTATCTGTATTGTTACTTATTGTATTATTTATTTCTTATAGTCTAGAAATTATGTTGTTTTTCACATATTTTATGTGAAAAACAACATATATAAGAATTATCTCGTGCAATATTTTTTTTATCTCGTCGGACCAAGTCTTTTCAAATGGAAACTATAAAATATTTTAAATGAATCTATAGAAATTTAAAGAAATAAAAAAATTTAGATTTTCAGATTTTTATTAAAATAGTTTATATCTTCAGAGTGGATAATTATAATTTTATAAAACAAATTATTACATTAGACATTCACAGAAGTAAATAATTAATACATATTAATTCAAATAATATTTTTTATGTAATATGTTTTATGATTTTACTATAAAAGCTAAAAGTCGACTGAAATAAAAAGTATTATATAAGCAAAAAATTACTGTATATTAACATTTTAAATTTAATATAAAAATTAAATTATATCGATTTATTGATATTTTATTAAGTATTTTATAATCCGCATCTAAATATCTGTGATGTATTTAAGAATTTAATGATTATTCATTCATAATGATTAATGCTTTAAATATGCTAATTAACAAATAATTGATATTAAGGTTAAGTAGAAAAAATTATATGATATAAATAATATTTTTATTAACTATATAAAAAGTATAATAACATGTTTTTTAAAATATACTTTTTTTAATAATTGCATGCAATCTAAAATGAAAAATATTTATTAAGTAGATTACTAGCTTTTTAAGCTTTTACCTCTAAATTGTATTACTTTTTCTGCATAAAATTATAATCTTTCGTAATTAATTTTTTTTTTTTTTGTGATAATCCTAGATCACAATTCCTAGATTCCTGATAATTCCTAGAGACTTTTTGAAATTGAACTTGAAACGATTAAATTTCTATTTACCAAAAATATCAATTTTTATTCTCAATTTATACCAGGTGAAATTATATAATTATTTTAATGTATTAATATTTCAGATTAAATTTAAATACACTAAATATTATTGATTATCATTGTGCAATAAGGTTATTAAACAATTGATTGTGTATATTAAGCTTTTAATACAAAATATGATATTTTAATCGGTATAATTCCAAATTTAAGAGAAAAATTATCTGATTAATTTTTGCATACGATTGTACAAATAATTATCTTTATATGTAGACGGTTTTATAAATGAAATTTATTTATTTTTAAGATATAAGAACAGTACTATTTCAAAAACTTTAAAATATCTATGTGAAATGGTTTTGATAAGACTGTATCATAGTATATATGGCCTTACTTTAAAAACTTTCACAGCATACTTTTTAGAAAAAATTACCATTACAATAATTTATTTAGTAAAACGTGAAGCTACTGCAATTTGTTAATGAATTTCTAGAATTTTTAGATACCACGTAACATAAAATTATACAGTTTAGATGTAAAAATTGTTAAGAAAATTTATTATATGAATGACATAGTATGAAATTTGTGTGTATATTTTCGTAATACATTATGCAATAATGGTAAATAGTATGTTTTTTTTTAAGTATTCATAGGGATATTAAGAAAATTAAGTATTATTTAATTAAATGTTAAAATAAAAATTTAATGTTTTTAAAAATGAATTTTACAAAATAGTATTGTCAATTGTTTCTAACAAGTTTTGAAATTGAATGGATAATCTTGAATAAAAGTAATCTAATTCTATTATCTCCGCACGATCAATTGTTTTTAGCAACAAGTGGTGACAGTAATCAACAATTTTCATAATATTATTTGTCCATATCAAAGACCTGTTTTCGGATAGTGTTAATTGTTAAATCCCCTGATTATTTTATGCTTGATGGTTGTAAATTTCAAAAACAATATTGCGCAATCTCGTTAGAACAATAAAACATGCGTTAATAGGCTATACAAACACGCACTCACGCGCGCACGCACGCACGCGCGCACACACACACACACACACACACACTTGTATTTTGAAGTACCAAAATCAAACAAACGTAGAATACGAGGTAATTAATTTTTATATCGATAATGAGTTTCAAAGTTTTATTAATAAAAATATCTTTATATATATATATATATATATATATATATATACACACAGATACCTTGAGAGTATTTGAAATTAATAATTTTAAATTTACTAATTTGTTGTTTCTCTGTATCATAGTATTAATGTAAAATTTATCTATATCTGTAATATAAATCATTACGTATCTTCTTTTAGTTGTAATTTTTTTTTCTAAAAATATGTATTTCAATATTATACGTAAAGATATTATGGCTGAATCTTTGCATTTGCTGCAACTTTATTAAATAATTGTATTTGCCTTGGTAAATATTTCGAATAATTTAATGAAATTTTACAATCTAATTTTGTTCGATTCTTCTCATATATTTGGTCTGCATTAATGTAAGATAAAATCAATTGAACATATAGATCATAAGATTGTAAATAAATTTAATAAATTAAAAATTATTGAGGTTACAATGTATACGGAAAAAAAATTGTTATATTAAACTATAAGCTACGAGTTAATAGGAATGATTAATAAAATGTATAAACTATTTATTAATTGTCAGCTCAATTAAATTCAATGAAATATTATTAATAAACTATAATAACAGAGATATAATCATCAACGCTTTAAATTGTCAGTGAACATGAAAGAATAATGACAAAACAATAAATTTACGAGCACGCTACGCTCTAAAATAATTTCGTACACTCGCGTTAAAACGAAAGGTGGCAAGAGTCAAAATTCTAACGCGATCATTCAAATTTATTCGATAATTGTTAACAGAAAATAATGTACATTGAGGCACGTTAAGGCCAAAAATAGTAATAGACACGTGTAGGTGTGAAATAAGGGTGAAATAAGTGTGGAACAGGAAGGGACGGTTGCGAGGCAAAGTAAAGTTGGCGTTCGGCTATATGGAAATCGTATTTCATTGGGAATGACAGGCTTATTGGATTTTCTATTGAAACACGGATTTTCAGTAAGTAATTGCTAGCAAAAAGAATTTTTGAAATTATAATAAGGTATTACCCGTTTGGTATTTTTTGGATTCTAAATGCACGTAATTTAATAACGATCAGTTGATAAAAAGTTAAAGTGTAGATCAATGTAGATAAATAGCATCGAAATTATTTGCATTTTATTTTTGTTCTTTTCCTTTTCTGTATCTCTCTATTTTCTTGCACAAAATTGTAATCGTGACGTTGCAAAAGAAAAATGAAAGAGAAAAAAAAGAAGAAATAGAAAAATAAGCTAAAAAGCAAAATGGCATTTGTGAACGTTACCTAGTTTGACGTAGCACGTATTGAAGAAATTCGGACCCAATACTACGCTCAGAAGGCCGAGCGTGCCCTGGGGAAATTCCGTCAGCAAGAAGAGCAGAAGTACAGCCAACAGCATTTTCGTCGTACGGTCAGTTTGTCTTTCGTTGTCCATTATCCGAGAAGCTTTTCTTCTACGCTTTTTACTCTCAGCCAGATTTATCGACTCCTCCACCTTGAGCATCGTGGTCGAGGTAAGCTTCTTGCGGCGTTTCTTCGCCTCGATCAGGGCCAATATGAGCCTAAGGCTGAGTATTGTTAGCGCCAGACACGGTAACAGCTTTATCACTACGCTGTACATCCAGAAATTCATCTCCTTGAGGCCATTTTGCGCGCTTTCGGTAAGCGCTACGTAGTATAAAGTAGCGTTGTTGGCGTCCATTCCAATCTGTTGATGATGGATCGGCGTCGATGACGATGATAACGACGACGACGACGACGATAAGGATGACGGCGATGACAATTGCAACGACGAAAGGGACGGCGACGACGATAAGGACGATGGCGAGGACGATGAAGATGATGATGGCGATGACGAGGACGATAATAACGACGACGATGACGACGACGACGACGACGACGAGGAGGAGGATGATGACGAGGACGACGACGACGACGACGACGACGACGACGACGACGACGACGACGACGACGACGACGACGACGACGACGACGACGACGACGACGACGACGACGACGACGACGACGACGACGACGACGACGACGACGACGACGACGACGACGACGACGACGACGACGACGACGACGACGACGACGACGACGACGACGACGACGACGACGACGACGACGACGACGACGACGACGACGACGACGACGACGACGACGACGACGACGACGACGACGACGACGACGACGACGACGACGACGACGACGACGACGACGACGACGACGACGACGACGACGACGACGACGACGACGACGACGACGACGACGACGACGACGACGACGACGACGACGACGACGACGACGACGACGACGACGACGACGACGACGACGACGACGACGACGACGACGACGACGACGACGACGACGACGACGACGACGACGACGACGACGACGACGACGACGACGACGACGACGACGACGACGACGACGACGACGACGACGACGACGACGACGACGACGACGACGACGACGACGACGACGACGACGACGACAACGACGATGACAATGGCGTTGGCGACGGCAGCGACGGAGGCTGCGACGTCGACGATGATAAGGACGAGGGCGACGGCGAGGGCAACGACAGCGACCCCAACGAGGAGAGATTCTGCAGCGTCACGTTGATCTGGCGATCATTCGCGTCAAGCGTAACATTCTTCGACGTGACTTGGGTCGTTACGTAAAGTGGAAAGCAAATAAGCGGACAGACAACGTAAGCAGCCACTATCGCAACGATCGTCCTCTTATAGCTGCACCATTCGCGGTTCTTCTGCGGATGAGCGACGGCTATGTAACGCCAGACGGCCAGCGTCACCGTCAGCCAGATCGAAATAGTGTGAAAGACCTGAGCGAAGTTGGAGTGGAACAAAACGAAGACCGTCCAGGCGTAGGTGTAGGTCTCGCGCTTGGGCCGATGGTAAAGGTAGGAGTGCACGGCATAGGGCATATACTCGATCATAACGAGCATGTCAGCGACAGCGAGGCCCGTGAGGATGGCGTTCGTCGGTGAGGACATTTCGCGCCGCGTGAGCACGGCGATGTTCAAGCCGTTGGCGATCGAGCCAAAGACGCAGACGAGAAGACTGGCCCAGCCGTGGATCGAGGCATACCTCGTGTGGAAGGCGTCGAGGCCGCTGCCGCAGCTGAGGTTGAGGCCGGGAGTCGCGTTCGCCATCGTCGTTGCCGGTGATTTCAGGCCGCTGCTTCCTCGACCGATCTAGAGCCCCTCGGACTCGCCGGCATCGTCCTTCGAGTCCGCGTCCAGCACTGGCGTCCGTGCCCTAGGGCCGATTGGGCTGGAGGGAAAGCGAGAGAGAGAGGGAGAGAGCGAGATTGGGTGGGAGTGAGAGAGGGGGGGGGGATAGCGGTTAGCGAAGCCCGAGGCTGTCAGATGCCAACAACTGCGCACGTGGGTGTTGGAAGCCGTGGACGAGACTCGCAACGAACGGTAAGACGCGGGCGCGTCGAATGACACGGGATGACGGCGCGCTGGATGTCGTTCGGATGGTAATGCCAACACGCACGCGCGATTGACAATGGCGCCGGGGCGAGTGGGGGTTAGGCTGGGGAAGTAGGTAAGTAGGCAGGCAGGCAGGCAAACAGGCAGGCAGGCAGGCAGGCAGGCAGGCGCACGCGCCTCTACTGATTTCACCAATGGTCAGCGGCTGAGGAATCCTTCATTGTTACAGGACTCTGCTTTGACGATCCTTAAGCGATGTTGTTCCAACGAATCAGTCTGACTAGGGTCGCAAGATTGCTCAAGCGCCGGCTTCGGCATTCGCGAAGGCTCCAAAAAATTTTCTCCTATGATAAAGTAATAGACTCGCTCGCATACTATAATTAGCTCTGCCTGGATAATTGCAATTTTCAAATTTACATGGACATATGATAATAGTCATTAGTTTATGATGCATTCGATTGATTACCGCGCGTGATGATTGTTTAAATTCATTTATTGTTTAAAAAATAATGTCGGCAAGATAGCATTGAATAGGGAATAAATTTTAATTAACATTATGATTTTAATTGACCGTCGTTCCTCTCTACCGAGTTCCGTATTTATATTTAAATAATGATAATTGAAATTTTAGTACAATTCGTGATAAATTTCAAATCTTCGTCGAGCTTAAAAATGTAAGGATTTAAAGAGATTTAAAGTTGGATGTACGTTAAGCTATTTATAAAAGGGAACTTTTTAAAATTAGTTTTAGAAAGTACATAAGATTTGTTTTTCTCTTAGATTTGCGTAGAGATTTGTTTGCACTCCCAAAGTATGTAAAATATTTTGCAAAATATGATATTATGACAATTTCGAATTATCAGTTTATAAACTGATATTGGCAAATAATAATTTAATAAAACAATTTATCGTACAGACATAAGCAATAGTAGCGATCAATTTATTGGAATACCCAAGATTAATTATAATGTGGAATTTCAATAAAAGACTTGACGATGGGTGTTATCATTAAATTTTAATTTTGCTTTTTATATTTAATTGGCAATTGATGCTGCATGTAATAATAGAGCAAAGATAGACTTTTTACGGAAAAAAAAAGCAGCACTGAATACTTGATAATTTAAACACAAATATGTTTCATTTCTTTGTGTTATAATTTATATCGTCTCGTAGATTGTAAAAAATATTTTTATTTTATTTTTTCAAAGGCATATCATCGCAGTTATTGAAAAAGAAATTTATTTTCTGCTTTCATGTATAATAATGCCGTTTGACCATAATAATACAATAGAAACAATGTATTTTTTTTTTTTTTTTTTTTTTTTTTTTTTTTTTTACATAAACACCACCATCGTATTTGACGACTTGTTTATTGCCATTAATTATTCTGTTGAGTGGATATAATTGACAAATGACTATAAAATATTGAAACAATTACAATAAAATGAAAATCCAATTCTCAACTTAAAAATATTATCAACTTACGTGTTTTATAATTCGACCTATGTAGAAAGGATTTTGTCATTTTATTTGTTATTCAATACAGATTTGTCACCTCTCGTTGCACACAAAATCGCCCAATAGTGTGGAGCATTTTTATCTTAGCATCTTGAGAACACAGAGTTCACTACTAGCGTTCACCCCTTAATTTATCGATTGCTCATTCTAATAGCAGACTATTTTCCAAATACTTACGCGAACAAACAAAAGGAGCGTAAAAAATCTTAGCTTTACACCAAGTCACCGAATAATTAATTTAAATTCGTCAAGAGCTGGAGTGGTGTGTATAAGTATAATATAAAATATTATTAAAACTCTTGCAATATTGGAATTTACTTTATATGGCGTGACACTCTCGCCGGTAACCTTTTGTATGAAATTCGTACTACTTATTTGCATATTTCTCGATTTCCCCCTGGAACAAGGGATCCGTTGAGATGTTTGTTCTTTCTTCGTTTTTCTTAATTCTTTAAAAAAGTCGTTATCAAGATAAGTCACTTACGAATGAATCTACGTGCTCGAATAATCAGCAGCGTTATTCAATGTCATTGTTAATGTCTTACAATCTCAAGTCTTGTGCTGCTGTATATTAACTTTATATTTGTTTGCTTAGCTTCTATAATGTTAAACGACATAATCGCTCTCTCTCTCTCTCTCTCTCTCTCTCTCTCTCTCTCTCTTTCTTTAATACCTCAACTAGCAATACATGCACTTTGTAAAAGTAAGATTGGTCATTTTAATGCTGACCAAAGCTTAATGCTTTTCATATTGTTATCATTATTCGAAATCGAAGCTTTTTTTTTAATAATAATCCAAATGGATTTGTATCACGAATTTATAAGTGAGCGCAATGTAATCAAGCCAACCAATGTAATCCTCCTACCAATGCAACCCACCACCCATCCAAACAGCTTGGCCCCCTGCAACCATCCCTATAACGTACAACCATAGGCGACAGTGCGCGTTGAATTTAATAACGCGCGGTTGCGTGGCACGGGCTTGCCATCCTCGCTGCGTGACAATGCGCGAAATTCCGTGTGAGCGAACGTGTGCGTAGATTCACGGAGGACAAAACGTGGCCGCGGCGGATGGCACACAGCTCACGTCGCTCACACAGGCCATTATGGACACGAGAGCAAAAGGGACAGCGACACGTGGCAGCACCGACGCTGCAAGGAGGTCCGACGCCGGAAACGGAGGCAGACACGCAAGGTCGAACAAAGCGATATCGAGGGTGTATTAAGGGGCTGCACCTTCGCCCGACCTGCCAGTCCGGCAATGCGAACCTCTGCGGAAACGCGACCACCCGTTCCCTAATTATTAAAATGACAAAAGGGCTGGGGACGGCGATCGCGCGCCACCGAGAGAGCGAATTGGGTCATCAAGCTCGGCCTTAATGAAAATAAATATTAAAATTCAGTTTGTGCTTGTGCGGCTTCGTGGGGCTGGTCGAATCAAGTGAGGTTTTAAGGAAATTAGTCTAAGCTTGGCTGCTCTTTTACCAATGCAAGAGTGCTTGACCCTCTAAATTATAATCTCTACAAAAGATCCGTACTTTGTGGATTTCAACATCCGATTTCAACTCCATCGATACCGAATATTCTAAATCAATTATCGGTCGATCAAATGTTGTGCAAATACAGCGAAAGCGATGAATAATGAATAGGCGTCGAGACACTGGTGCACGGAGATGTACAGATAGACGCCTCTGATACTGTTCAGTGAGGTTAGCATAGATCGATCCTGCCTCACGGACCTTCGATGTTGATTTCTTTGATGCTTGTGAGAGATGGAATCGCTCTCTACATATCGCTGCCTCCGTAAAAGTAAAATTAACGAAATGCTTCAAACAGTTGCGAGTCATTTATTTTTAAAAGGAGCTTACGTTATTCAAATACATTTCTCGTTTAAGCTAAGCAAGTTGAGCCGATCGTGTGCTCGTACTAATGATATCGATGTCCCTATTACGTGACGCGTGTGTGTGCGTGTGTAATGTAATGCGGGTATCAGATTTCACGCTACGATTATAATACGATGAGAACCCGAACGTATAGTTGTATACAGGTATTGCTAGGTATATTGCTCGGTCGGAAGTATATTTGGCGCGAAAGCACGACGTCATCGTTTCAATTCCCGGCCAATTGGAGTCATGAGCCTTTGTTGCGATATTCCTTTCAAAGAAAAAATCTTTTATAGGCTTTTGTGCGCTGGGATAATTATGCAAGCGAGTTTGAAATGCCAGTGAATTATATTAGTTTCCTTCGCAATACATTTCATGATAAATATCATTAAGTATTATTGCGTATATTGTTTATATTGAAATTATATGTTTTTTTTTACATTCAAATTGTAATTTTATTCATCGACGCAGTCGATAATAATTTCAAGCTTATTATAATTTAACGGGTTGTAATATTTTATTAATTAATTTGTATTTTTTGCTATGGAATCATTGTGTGGTTGCTTGAACAGTAATTTATATCCGAGACATTAATAAAGATGATGATGGATTTAGCCAACTCGATGAAAATATTTTCAAACTTTTGAAACAAACTTTCAACATTAAGAATTCAATAGATAGTGAATTTAAATTTGTCAAATATCTTCGTTATAATCTGTCGAGGAGCAATTAATCATTTTTGAAGAAGAATAGTCCGTATATAATTAATAAGTATAGTTTGACTATTTCATGCAAATTGTCTGCATGTTAAATTAATCTTTAATAAAAGTATCAATCTTATCTATACTAAGGAACATATAATCGCTTGTAACAGTATTATATTGCATAAACGTTATATTATGCAAAAGTTGCGGTCTCTGTGACAGCACTTACATCGACTTATACCACTAGCATATTAATATATATTACTCGGATATCAGGAAAAATTAATTCTTTCAGAATCAACTTCTCCGCTCATTTGGCTTACTTCTTCCACTCCTTCCACTACAACTCTACAACAATTGTAGTTGTATCTGAGTATGAAATAAGTTTATAAAATCATATTAATGAAATAATTTTGAAAGAAATTAATAATTCTTATATTCAATTGACTGGTAATTATTACGTTCATAAGTTTATATGATGATTATATTGACACGAGAGAAATATTTTTATACATATAAATGTTAAATAAATTTTCTAAATAATTTATAATCTTAATGATTATTAACTAGCCAATTTTGAAAATATTTTAAGTATCTCAAATTTGATAAAATATCTATAATGCCTAAACTAATAATAATAATATTAAAGCGGTAATTATTTGCTTATCGTTTTCAATTTCGATGAAAGTACCATTTATTTATCGTTTTATTAA